TAGCAGATCACAGACCGAGACAACGTACCTGGGGCCTTCGCGCTTTTTAATATGTAACTTAAGTTACTCTCTCTTTTTGCATAGAAACTAGGGCAACCTTAACACGGTGATTGGATGTGTACATACAAACACTTAGAATTTGTTAGTTGACAGGTTCAGTTTTTTCACGTGTAAAACAGCATTTTGACAACTTTATACTTCTGATGACTTTTTCTGCGCTGATGTTTCTGATGTTATAGGGTGTTAGGGTAAGGACCCAGCGGCTACACTCACCGTGTCCGCTAGTACGAGGTTCACCAACGGCTGAGCATTAATTTCGCTTCTTCTTCTAAAGTATTTGACTAAATATAGGAGGTTATTTTATATTATCTATTCTCTTATTTTTGCATGGAAATACACGTGTGTTTGTGTCATTCAAGCTCGGCTCTGTGTGTGTGTGGCGATAGGCATTTAGTGTGATAGAGAGGGAGTGAGGGAGAGAGGGAGTGAGGGAGAGAGAGGGACCGGTGCTAGCGGGGACCGTGATGTTAGCATCTGGTTAGCTAGCTGCACTAACGGACATAAGGAGCTGTTTCCACAACAAGCTGGAGGAGAGTCCTCTCCTGTCAGACTGAGGGGCTCAGGTGAGCTAAAGGACTCTTGAGTGTTTAGAACAGTTTTGTCACAAATTATTCAAAAGATTATTTCCGTGGCACACCTTCATATGATCATTATAGTTATACAAACAATAAGAGAATAAATGAAAAACAGGTATGAAATAGCCTACTATATGGCAGTAAAACAAGAATACAGTATAATGTGATTTGTAAAATATCCATAAAGAAAAAGAAAATCTGTTTACAGTTCTGTTTCATATGGGTGCTGAGAGAGGTATCCATAGATCTCTTCATGTTGCTCTCAAAGTGCACCAGATTGATGCTTTCAACTTCAATATTTAAAAAAAAATCTTCCCGGGGGAGCATCCCCCCGGAACCCCCTTGAGGAGGTGAGGTCCGCCCCCCAATAGCACTTTACCCCTGCCTATATGCCGTGAGCTGATTATGGAGCCTTCATTGTAAGAGTAATTCAGATGCAATTAGCCTATATAAAAGGCCTCAAATTGGAAGCATTGTCTGGGCCGTCTTTTCCACTCAATTCTGCAATAGGTAGATCTCGCCTTTCACCTAGGCCGAGGTCGGTGATCTTGGGCTTAAAAAGGTTGGTGACCACTGGTCTAAGGTTACATATCACCACTTTTTGTAGGCAAGTTAAAATCTCAGTTTAAGAATTCAGCTGTTTAGACGAGAAACAGCGATGTGATTCTGACATAAACATTCTCATTTTCAGACACAGGGAGTTAAAAATCAATGCACAAAGACACCTGAACACGCCGGAACAATGCTCTATGGTCACTGATCATCTCATCAACACCTGTCTCCACGATGTCTTCCCCCGAGGAGGAGGCTCCTGACCTGCAGCTACGTTTTGTGTTTGGGAACAGTGTTGTCAAACGGCAGAATCCCCACATTCTGCCTGAGGATGAAGAGGCACAGGAACCCCCAGAACATTATTCAACTGAGACATTATGTCTGAGCAGAACGCAGCGGACGCATGTCGCAGAAAGTATTTTGAAAAATAGCACGCTAAAGGTCAGTTGTGACTTCACTGTGCATTCGCACATTCCCACCTACCTTAGGTACATATGCTGTCGTGATTATCAAGCAAAACAAATTAGTGATGCATCCAGGAAAAAATGAGGCCAACCATTTTATATACCAGTATGATTTGTTATTTGGAATATCAATCATCTCTAACTGCCCATTATCTCATCTTTAGTATTTATATCTTGAAGGCAACCAGATATCCAGTATCCCAGATTCAATGTTCATCCGCTTGCCCAACCTTCTGTGGCTGGACCTCAGAAATAACCACATTGCATCGTTCCCTGCTGAAATTGGCTTGCACAGGTATGAAACTGCTCTTTGAAATAAAATAAACAGATTTATTCCCAATCCCTCGTCCACTCTCATGTCAAATTTCAGAACCTTTTGAGATATGATTTCTATTTGAGAATTCTGTTTCATGCCATATGCTCTGGAAATTGAATTAATGATTCCAACGTGATTATTTCTGTAAAATTTCCTTATGTGTTCAGTTTAAGACTCAAACGTATCCCTGTCAAGCATGTAACAATCTGTGATTCTGCCCTCGCAGGTCTCTGAAGACATTACTTCTGGAGGGAAACCCCATCTCTGAGCTTCCAGCTGAGATGGGTGAGATGACTTTAGTCACCTTTACCAGCAATAAATGTGTGCAGCCGTTGACATAACAAGCAGTTCTCCTGTTGAATCACTTTCAGGGAGCCTTAATGGCAGCTAACATAGAGCTAGATTGCATGCAATGAATGTTTCTTAATCCTCCTGTTGTCTTCGGGTCAAATCTGACCGATGTACTACTTTCATCAATCATAACTTTTTAGTTTTACATTCGATTGCATTGAGTGTATGACCTTCACAGTAGCAGAACATATTAAAATTGCTGTCACCACTTTCATTGGATTGTGGATGATTTAGTCAACTTTGTAACACCCATTGGTGTTCCCGGGCAAAAATACCGCCATAAAAAAGGATTTAGTACCTCCGGATCAGATAACACACACACACACACCACCAACACACACACACAACACACAACCAACACCACCACCACACACACCACACCACACACCCAATACTCTGAGAATCTAGATGTGTCCCCCCCCCTTATGTGCCATCCCCCCTTATGTGCCCAATCCCCACCACAACAAAACACACACCAACGCACACAACAACACACCACCACAAACACACCACACACACACACACACCACACACACACAGACAGTTGGAACATTCTCGTTCTTATGTGCCAGTCCCTCCTCACATGATCACACCTGCCGCATATACTGTTCATGTGTCTATCTTTGTACATACTGGTTTTTCATATACCAGTGTCTTGATACAATAGTTACAGTTGGAGGGTGTTTAAATTACATTTGGTGATGATTATATGGTTTTTGTGGTTAATGTGAATAGCGTTAAACAGACGGTCAATCTTGACCCGTGATCACCAAAGTAATGGGGGGGGGGAAGATAAATGAAGTGAGTTAATGGAACTTTTCAAGTGGGTTTTTGTCTAAATGTTTTAAGTGATCACTTAACTTTTGCAAATAACACTGTTGCTGCTATGATACATGTAATACAGGTATTAAGATGTGACATTACGCTTCAATTTAAAATAAATACCTCCAGCTAGCCAATATT